GCACACATCCTGGAACCTGGAAGTTTAGGTGCCGGCATGGACATGTGTGATGGAATGCTGCTTTTCTGGGTTTCGGTGCTGCCGCGTGGCTATGTATGAGGCTATGCATTCCTTGCAGTGTGGACAGTAAGGCTACCCATTCCTTGCAGGATGGTTTTGCGTGCCATTTCCGGCATGCAGGTCAGCACACGGTGACCAAAAAGTTTAGCCTTCACTGGCTTAGAGAAAATGTGACTGGCCCAAGGTCACCCAACTTACTTTGTAACTAAGGCAGGATTGCTGGTTCTCCTGATTTTTAAGTACCATTAACCACTGCACCAAACTGGTACCTATAAAAATATTATAGTTTTTTAAAAACATCTTTTTTAAAGAGTCTTTTTTTTAATCTTCCTGAATTGCACCTGGGTAAGATTGGAAGGATCTGCTTTGCAATGAATTATTACAGATTATTTTTGAAGATCAGTTAAGAAGGTGCTTCTGTATTCTTGTTGATGCCATAAATGTTCCCTTGCAATGGTCTGTTGACCCAAATTCTATGTGATATGCAAGTCGTCTTTGACTTACAACCTTTTGTTGAGCCACCATTTAAATTTACAATGGCCCTGGAAAAAAGTGACTTACAACTGGTCCTTGCATTTACTAACCATTGCAATATCCCCACAGTCACGTGATCAAAATTCAGGCACTTGGCAACCAGCAGTGCATTTACAATGGTTGCAGGATCCCAGGGCCATATGATCACCATTGGAGACCTGCCCAGCCAGTTTCTGACAAGCAGAGTCAGTGGGGAAAGCAGAATTCATTTAACAACTGCAGTAATTTGATTAACAACTACGGCCAAAAAAAATAGTTGTAAAAATCAGGTGTGACTATTGCCTACCTAGCAACAGAAATTCTGGTTCCAATTGTGATTGTAAGTAAGGCTACCTGTATAAATCACCAATGGGAAAGAAAGTTGTGAAAGTTTTTGGTATGATGGCTAAGGGTGCTAAGGATACCCAATTCTATTTCTTGTTTCCATCCAAACCTAAGGAAACTACTGAAGTTTAGAATCAGTGTTTGATAATGATGCTTGATTGGGGGTGTTGGTTAAACAAATGAATCTCTATTCTATTCCCAAAGATCTAACTCGTAGATTCAGCGTAAGCAACTTTCTGCTTATTTTCAGTGTAAGCAACTTTTCGCTCAGAAAGATTAAGCATAATAAGCCAAAGAAATTAAAAAGCATAAGATGAAAAGGGAAATATAATACAGATAAAAAAGAGTTTACATAAAATCATTCACTAAAATGCTCTACACCCTTTAATCCTTGAAAACCATCCAAGCTTCTACCTCATTTGTACACTAATTCACATATTCCTTTTGAATTTTGTTTTGTTTTTAAATTTTCCCTCTTTCTTTTTCAGGCTGCCATTAATTCCATCCAACCATGACTTTATTGGTCTCTTCTTTTTTCTCTTGACCTTCATTTTTCCATTATAATTTTTTTTTCATTCAGTCATCATTCATTGTCTTAATATGACCAAAGCATTTATTCACATTTGCATTTAATTCATGTTCATTCAGCACTTCTCAAACTCATTTCTTCTTGCTTTACAATACCTATCTCTTAAGTAACCCCTTGACACTATATTTAATGTGCTTTTAAGAAACCCCTTGACACTATATTTAATGTGCTTTTATGTTTCTCTTGACTTATTCAATTCTCATTTCCTTATAACAAAAAGGGCAGAAGAAAGCTCTTATACAATGGGTCTGGCACCAGCATTGATAGCTTCCATTTTCATGTCACTCTTCAACATATCACTGAGATAAATCTGTAAAAAAAACAACTTCTTCCAGTATTCTCTGATGTCAGTTCCATCCCAAATAATTTCCTTTAAATTTCATTCACTCTCCCGATGGTTGTTTAGTTAGAACTTTTTACTGATTCTGAAAAGATTTTTTAAAAATATGTAATGTTGTTCATTCGTTCGTTCGTTTATTGGTTTTGTATGCCGCCCAATCCCGAAGGACTCCAGGCGGCTCACAATAAAAC